CAGATTGTTATGTCGATAGTTTTCCGATACTTTTACTTAAAATCTTTTTTTTTATATTTTGCTATTTGGATGAAGATTTTTCATGACAATGACTATGGTCCATTTGACAAAAAATATATACTATTATGTACCCATGCTTTGGTATTTGCATAATTGCATTGTAGTCTTATCTATTCCCAATTATTTTATATTTTTATTAATATTATGCTTTATGTTGGATATGTCTTAATGAACGAAAATATTTGTATTTGATTTTTATACAACTACAATAGCAAGTTAGTAACGGTAAATATTATTAGCCTATAAATCAAATAAAGCCGAAATATAGTTTCTAAATATGCTATTTGGCATTCCTAATTTTAAGTTTCATCTTTTTTTGTTTGCCACAATTTTAAGTTTTATCTAAGAATTAAGAAATGTTGAACAACGATGAGCAAATAGTAAAAGCAACACGTTGACATGTCTGAGTAAAAAAAAAAAAAAATTAAATGTTTGGTAGATTCATGTCCTTTTCTTTACAATAAATGTAATTTCTTTATTTTGCAAATTGATAAATTTAATATTTTTCTAGTTTTATTGAATTCTTTTATTTATTTTATCAAAGCATACATACAAATTGGGGGGCTTAACTAAAATGTAAGAAGTAATTAGGCCTCAAAATATGGGCCTAAATCATGTGAAAGAAGAGAGCAATTGATAAAGGCCCATATCAAGCCCAATGCTAACCATTCTGAGAAGACGGAGACAAAAAGAAGGAACCAGTAGTAGTGTTGTTGAATCTGAGATTTCGGAAGATTCGATCGAATTGGGGTTAGGGTTTTTCTCTGCCGACGAACTTCGAATCATCTGATCAATGGCGCCGCCTCCAGGTCTTTACTCCGGTACCAGCACTCTTGCTCTGGTAAACACTAATCTCCCTCCGATTTCTCGATCTGTATATATCTTTGACTCGTTTTTGAGTTGTAGAATTTTGGGTTTTTTAGTTCATCGAGTCTCTTATTGTATCGATTAGGTCGCTCGTGCTTCTGCTTTCGGGTTAGGTCTCATCTATGGGAACGTAAAGCTCAAGGCTTTGAAGGTACATCTCTCTCTATCTTCCTTGTCCTGTTTTAACTTCATGCTTTTGAAATTTCGATTCTTTTTTTGGCTTCAGACTTTAGTATATCTGAATCGAAGTATTTATGGTAGGTCTATTTGCAAGTAACATGGTTGTTCTTTGACTCCAATGGTTATGCCTGAGTTTCTGATTCTCATATTTCATTGAATGATCATAGTTTTACTTGATGATAAGTAGAAGATTTTCTTATTGATTGGAAGCTGTTTGTCACTGCATTGCAATTTCTTTCATTTTTTTGTGTTTCCAAAACCCTAAGAAGATTGGATAGTTATGCAGCTTCTTTATAAGAGTATCCCTTGTTTAGAGACAAATCTGAATTCTCGTTTTATCTTTAGATTTTCGATATTTGAGCCTACAGAGTTTCCGTTGTTTGTAGTTGTATGTCTTATCTTTATGTGAAGTGATTTGTTGCTAACTGATACCACCAAATGTTTTTTTTGTTCATATGCAGATAAAGAAGAACTCACAGATTAAGGCAGAAGCCAAGGCTCATCACTAAAACAAGTCTTCTCTCTTTTCATAATAAGAAGATGAAGCCAAGTGAATGTTATCCCTAAATGTAGCTGCTTCGTCGTTCTCCCTCGGTGATATTTTTCTCGATTTTTCTGCTTTTTTTGTTTTCTTTTGATGAAGATGAACAAAATCTTTTGTCTGAAAAAGCAATCGTATACCATTTTGGTTTAAACCTGAGTTCCTTTTTGGTGCTTTCTATTCAATAATCACCATCCATTTATCATTTCAACCTTAATGATTATAGTAACCTAATGTGTGATTCTGTCAAAACCAGCAATAACAATCGAATTTTTTTGCTTGGTAGTTATCTTTTAGTTTTGTTTTCTTAGCAGTATTGATGTAATCATCAGGGTGGTGTCAATTCGGTTTAACTTAACCAGGTTGAGTTTAAACCAGATCGAAAAATTGATCCAGAGATCAAACCAGATTCTATATAAACCGTTTTTGAAGCCTCACAAAAAATTTTGCTTTAAGAAACCTGATTTGTACCGAGATGATATTGAATTCAAATTGAGAACACCAAAGAACAAGAAAAAAGAAAAAAGATTTTATCTGCCCCGATGCATAAGTTAAAGTAAATGATTGGCTGTTTCTACTCTACCAATGTAGCCATAGCTTTGTGGTAAGAACACTTTGAGTTGGAACCTCAAGGTCGTGACTTCGAACATTGTTCACATTCTTGGCTCCGTCTCCAGATCATCTTCACTGTCAAATCTCTGACATAAAAAAGAGGCATTCTTAAATGCCTTTTTAATCTACAATTTAACAAGTTCATAGAAACCAAACTGATTAGAGTATTTAAATACGTATACGATTTTTTCTGTTTTTGAATATAAATATTAGATTGAAAAATATTGTAATTACCAAAAAAAAAAGGTATGGATCAATATGTTGGGTTTCAATTACATTTAACATTACATAATATTAATTCAGATCGGTGCATATAAGCGAGACATATTTGAACATTGGCACACATTCTTGTCTCCGACTCTAGATTATCTTCAGTTCTTCACCATCAAATCTCTGATATCAAAAGAGGCATTTTTAAATGCCTTCTTTTTCTACAATTTAACAAGTTTATAGAAACCAAACTGATTAGAGTATTTAAATACGTATACGATTTCTGTTTTTGAATAGTATAAATATTAGATTGAAAAATATTGTAATTACCAAAAAAAAAAAATAGAGGTATGGATCAAAATGTATGGTTTCAATTACATTTAACATAATAATAATTCAGATCGGTGCATGCATATAAGCGAGACCACTTGCATATAAGTGAGACCACTTGTGCAAATAAAAATAATATTTATAATGCACTATTAAATTGATCATATTGGTCATCCCAAAACTATGATTTGAAAACTTGGATAATTTCAGAATCAAATTAATTATTTAAAATTGAGGTGCATGCGGCATGCCTACCTAGCATTACTAATTGCAATCGAAATTATTTGTTTTTTTTTTGTCGTTATTTGATTTTCTCATAACAAATAATAGTGTTATCTTTAGACTTTAGTATAAGTGAGGTTTATGCTTTTATGTCTTTGGACACATTACAATCAGAATGTGACTCGAACACCACATTACTCAAAGACCACAAACTTGAATAGGACACGAATATATTTTTTGGTTTATTTCTATTATTGGTGCTTAAGTGCTTTCTTCATTGGAAGGATGATAACTAAAAGAATATATTTTTTGTATGCGTTTTAAATATATAAAGAAATATGATTTTTAGAAAAAAAACTAAAAAAATTAGTTGTGGTCCATTGGCTACCATCAACTAAGGTCTAGATGTGCAAGTCCTTATAAATGATAGTAGATGTTTTCGACTTTGAGATTATTACTAGGGTAAGGACAAATGAAATATTCACTATCGTATTATTTTTGGTCGAAATTCAC